GCGGTCATGTCTGTTCTGTATCGTGCGGTCATGTCTCTTATGTATCGTGCGGGTCATGTCTGTTATGTATCGTGCGGTCATGTCTGTTATGTATCGTGCGGTCATGTCTGTTATGTATCGTGCGGTCATGTCTGTTATGTATCGTGCGGTCATGTCTGTTATGTATCGTGCGGTCATGTCTGTTATGTATCGTGCGGTCATGTCTGTTATGTATCGTGCGGTCATGTCTCCTATGTATCGTGCGGTCATGTCTGTTATGTATCGTGCGGTCATGTCTGTTATGTATCGTGCGGTCATGTCTGTTATGTATCGTGCGGTCATGTCTGTTATGTATCGTGCGGTCATGTCTGTTATGTATCGTGCGGTCATGTCTGTTATGTATCGTGCGGTCATGTCTGTTATGTATCGTGCGGTCATGTCTCTCTTATGTATCGTGCGGTCATGTCTCTCTTATGTATCGTGCGGTCATGTCTCTCTTATGTATCGTGCGGTCATGTCTCCTATGTATCGTGCGGTCATGTCTCCTATGTATCGTGCGGTCATGTCTCCTATGTATCGTGCGGTCATGTCTCCTATGTATCGTGCGGTCATGTCTCCTATGTATCGTGCGGTCATGTCTCCTATGTATCGTGCGGTCATGTCTCCTATGTATCGTGCGGTCATGTCTCCTATGTATCGTGCGGGTCTCCTTCATGTCTCATGTCTTCTGTATCGTGCGGTCATGTCTCTTCTGTATCGTGCGGTCATGTCTCTTCTGTATCGTGCGGTCATGTCTCTTCTGTATCGTGCGGTCATGTCTCCTATGTATCGTGCGGTCATGTCTCACTGTTTTGCTTCAACAGATGCTGAAGGGGCATTGGGGGAGCAGGCCCAGAGCAGCGAACCTAAAGAGGAGGACAAGCTGTCCCAGCACAGCGACAGCATCATGGAATTCCGCAGGAAGAAGAGACTGCAGGGTGAGGGGCACTCCTGAGTACAGCCAAAGTGGGCAGTTGTGCTGATTCGGTCACTTGTATATTTATTGAGTCCGGGGGGGGGGGGGGGGGGGGGGGGGGACAAACGAAAGTAAACTTGTGCTTATACCTCAACAATGCAGCACATAGAACCAGAGCTTGGCTACGTGGTGGTGGGGGAGGGGGGAGTCCTTGGCCTGTGTTACCTACCTCCAGCAATACAGCCTCTATTACCTGAGCAGCCAGTCTCCAGGCCTGAGCATGGCTATGTGGTAGGGGGGTCCTTAGCCTGTGTAAGCTCTAAGCTACCTCCAGCAATGCAGTACATCGTACCGGAGGAGCCAGTCTCCAGGCCTGAGCATGGCTATGTGTGGTAGGGGGGTCCTTAGCCAGTGTAAGCTCTAAGCTACCTCCAGCAATGCAGTACATCGTACCGGAGGAGCCAGTCTCTAGGCCTGAGCATGGCTATGTAGCCTGGGGGGGGTCCTTAGCCAGTGTAAGCTCTAAGCTTACCTCCAGCAATGCAGTACATAGTACCGGAGGAGCCAGTCTCCAGGCCTGAGCATGGCTATGTGGTAGGGGGGTTCTTAGCCAGTGTAAGCTCTAAGCTACCTCCAGCAATGCAGTACATAGTACCGGAGGAGCCAGTCTCTAGGCCTGAGCATGGCTATGTAGCCGGGGGGTCCTTAGCCTGTGTAAGCTCTAAGCTACCTCCAGCAATGCAGTACATCGTACCGGAGGAGCCAGTCTCCAGGCCTGAGCATGGCTATGTGGTAGGGGGGTCCTTAGCCAGTGTAAGCTCTAAGCTACCTCCAGCAATGCAGTACATCGTACCGGAGGAGCCAGTCTCCAGGCCTGAGCATGGCTATGTAGGGGGGTCCTTAGCCAGTGTAAGCTCTAAGCTTACCTCCAGCAATGCAGTACATAGTACCGGAGGGAGCCAGTCTCCAGGCCTGAGCATGGCTATGTGGTAGGGGGGTTCTTAGCCAGTGTAAGCTCTAAGCTACCTCCAGCAATGCAGTACATAGTACCGGAGGAGCCAGGCTCCAGGCCTGAGCATGGCTATGTAGCCGGGGGGTCCTTAGCCAGTGTAAGCTCTAAGCTACCTCCAGCAATGCAGTACATCGTACCTGCGGAGCCAGTCTCCAGGCCTGAGCATGGCTATGTAGCCGGGGGGTCCCGTTGCCTTGTGTAAGCTCTAAGCTACCTCCAGCAATGCAGTACATAGTACCGGAGGAGCCAGTCTCCAGGCCTGAGCATGGCTATGTGGTAGGGGGGTCCTTAGCCAGTGTAAGCTCTAAGCTTACCTCCAGCAAAGCAGCAGATTATATGTGAGCCGCCAGTCTCTAGGCCTATGCATGGCCACATGGCGGGGGGGATCCTTGGCCTGTGTAAGCTCTAAGCCTGTAACCTGAGTAGGGTTGTTTCTCATGGCTCCTTGTGAGCGATCGGTTGACATGGGAGCTCAGAAAACAATTATCAACAGCAGGGAAAAAGACTCTCAAGCTGTTACTTCCTCCTCCATGGCAAGGAACAGGTTCTCTTTGAAGAGCAACCCCAGTCAATAGCGGCTTTCTGTCTAAGAACACCTGTGCTCCAATGGGCACCCCTGAAAAGGAGATGAAGGAGCCAGAATGTACCTTTAAGGGTTTTTCTCGGGTGCCCCAGGAACATTGAATTATGTAAAGAGCAGCTTTGACTCCAGGACCTCCAAAGGGCTCAGGCCCCACCTCCTCCAGCCTCTCGCAACTCATGATTGGACAGTGTGGCTGCACATCACACAGCGGGGCCATTGGTAAGCCAAACGTATTGACAGAGGCACTTCAGAGATTCACATTTCATTACACTGGCCACACACAGTCAGATTTCCATTCAGATTCAATGTGACGAAACAGAAACATTTCCCAGTAGCCGTGCGATGTGTGAGAATGAAAGGATCTGCAGTTGTAGTCATTGAACTTGTGGAGTTGAGATGTTGTCATGCTGAGCCAGCTGTCATCTTCTGCCTTTCTACAATAAACATCTTCTTCTGCAGCTACACAAACCCATAGAAAGCCGCCAACCAGACCGCGCTCTCTCTCCTCGTCCCCTGTACCGCTGCCGACGCCGCGCGACCGCTACCGTGTGCGCAGTTTGAGGACGCTCTTCACAAGGAGGCCAGAGGGGAGCTGGGGAAGATCCGGAGAGAGGTGCAGAAGGAACTGGACATGCAAAGGCTCAAAGCTCAGGTATACTAAACATTCTGAGGGGAGGAGTCAGTAATATGTAAACTATGGCTTGTAAAGTGAACCTGTCACATCTCTGAGAGCAGACAGTCAGCAAAATGTGTTTTTTGTTCTTCTTTTTGTCAGGGTCAGGCCTTGGATGCTTGATTCTTACCCTGGGAGCAGCGACCAAAGTTCAAGCATCCGGGGCCTAAGCCCTGCCCATGTCAATCAGGAAGTAGAGGCATTGGACTTTGGACTTTTGATGGGTGGGTATGGATTTTAGGTAACTCTGACCTTGAGACCCAGGAACGGGGGTCCCCAGGGACGCATCGAATAGAATTAAAGCCAAGCACGTCGTCCATTTTACTGGTAATAATTGTTTAGCTCAGGGGTAGGCAACCTGCGGCCCTCCAGCTGTTGCTGGACTACAAGTTCCATCATGCCTCTGCAAGTCATAGCTGTAACTGTCAGTTCTGTAATGTTGCAATGCCTCATGGGAAATGTAGTTCCACAACAGCTAGAGAGCCGCAGGTTCCCTACCCCTGGTTTAGCCATTTTGGTGGAATATAAAGGCTCGCTGGGCTTATGGAGACATTTAACAATATATTATTATAACCGCAGGCATCAACATGAAAGATTTCACTTCTTTTCTTGAATTACTCAACTTCCCTCAGAGGCAAGAAGCCTCCATACCTGCCGGCCCTCATACTGATAACAAACATTGTCTCTAGCTCCCAAGTCTGCTTAAAGGCCAACTCCATCTTGTGCATTATCTTACACATATATTTAGGGTGTAAATTGAACCCCTTACTTTGAACTACAAGTCCCATCTGCCAAGACAGCAGCCAGGCTCGTACTTCTCAATGGAATACCTTGCTGTGGTCACCACATTCCTAGTTCATTGACACTTCCTCCATCTCTCCAACTGAACCCCTGACTTTGAACTACAAGTCCCATCTGCCAAGACAGCAGCCAGGCTCGTACTTCTCAATGGAATACCTTGCTGTGGTCACCGCATTCCTAGTTCATTGACACTTCCTCCATCTCTCCAACTGAACCCCTGACTTTGAACTACAAGTCCCGTCTGCCAAGGCAGCAGCCAGGCTCATAGTTCTCAATGGAATACCTTGCTGTGGTCACCACATTCCTAGTTCACTGACACTTCCTCCAGCTCTCCAACTGAACCCCTGACTTTGAACTACAAGTCCCATCTGCCAAGGCAGCAGCAGGCTCATAGTTCTCAATGGAATACCTTGCTGTGGTCACCGCATTCCTAGTTCATTGACACTTCCTCCAGCTCTCCAACTGAACGCCTGACTTTGAACTACAAGTCCCATCTGCCAAGACAGCAGCAGGCTCATAGTTCTCAATGGAATACCTTGCTGTGGTCACCGCATTCCTAGTTCATTGACACTTCCTCCAGCTCTCCAATTGAACCCCTGACTTTGAACTACAAGTCCCATCTGCCAAGGCAGCAGGCAGGCTCATAGTTCTCAATGGAATACCTTGCTGTGGTCACCGCATTCCTAGTTCATTGACACTTCCTCCAGCTCTCCAATTGAACCCCTGACTTTGAACTACAAGTCCCATCTGCCAAGGCAGCAGCCAGGCTCATAGTTCTCAATGGAATACCTTGCTGTGGTCACCGCATTCCTAGTTCACTGACACTTCCTCCATCTCTCCAATTGAACCCCTGACTTTGAACTACAAGTCCCATCTGCCAAGGCAGCAGCCAGGCTCATAGTTCTCAATGGAATACCTTGCTGTGGTCACCGTCCATTTCTAGTTCACTGACACTTCCTCCAGCTCTCCAACAACCCCTGACTTTGAAACGCCTGTACCTCGGTACGGACAGGGACCAGTGAGTGATTACGGGGGCCGTGCTCTCTAGTAGGGTCCTGCAAAAAGTATTATTTTTTTTGGTTTTAGCTGGACTTGGCCTTTAACTTCATGAAGTGGTAGAACCTTGTCTGTGTTCAGTGCTTTGATTACAGGTAATGTTCTGCGTGTTCTGGAGGTGGAGAGAGATTTCTCTATCAGCATCAGGTCCGGGAGAGGGAACTTTGCTTGACAAAGCTAGAGCCCGCCATCCATGGGTCAAAATGTAGCCGGTTCACCAGGAACCAAATGATATTTTATCCAGCTATGGGCACCCCAGTTGTACAGAAGTCGATCTACGGATTGGCTTCTGTACAACCAGGCTTTGGGTTTTTCTTGATCAGTGATGTCAGCTACAGTGAGGAACAGAAGTATCTGAACACCCTGCGATTTTGCAACTTCTCCCACTTAGAAATCATGGAGGGGTCTGAAATCCACATTGTAGCTGCATTCCCACTCAGAGACAGAATTTAAAAAAAATTCAGGAAATCACATTGTATGGTTTTTAAAGAATTTATTTGTCTTGCACCGAAACTGATCAGTGTGTTCTCATGGCAGGAAAGCCTCCCAACCGTGAGACCCCCATAGCAGATCAGGAGCAATTCCCCCATCCATGTCAAATGTGTGCATGAGGGAATGGGCACTTTTGTATTATTGCAACGCTCATGTATAATGTATGGTTAGCCTCCTCTAGGATGAGGGCTACCAAGTGTGCTACATCCCCCCTTCTGTAAATGTCCCCAATGGTGTAAGCACCCCAATGTTTCCTGGTTCAACTGTGAGCTGCAACACTCCCAGAGATTGACATTTGTCACCAAGGCTGCCCCAGACCATGCTTCTTCCTTCTCTATCTGGAATATCCCCCCCCCCGGGGTGTTTCTCTTGTTCATGTTGTTTTATTAATATAAGGGAGTCGAAATGACAGTAGAAAGATACGAGAATTAAGAATATACAAATGCATGGAACAGGATTTACAGCCGGAATGCAAACAGAATAAAATGAGGAATGTAACAAATCCCACATAACGGGGGGCATCAAACAAGGCAGAATGTAGGCCATTGGGGGGGAGTGCCCATTATCCTGGCATGTGTCTCATAATATACTTGTTTGGAACTAAAGGTGACTGTACAATACCATGGAAATAAAATGGAAGCAACACTGGGATTCAAACCCAGGTCTCCTGGGTCCAGGGCAATGAACCCATTGGTGAGCCACAGGCAGGTTGGTCAGCTTCTAGCAGGTTCCAGGCTATAGCTTTTTTTTTTTTTTTTTTTTTTTTTTTAAAATGGGTTTTGTCGTTTTCATGCTGAAATAGGAGAACAGACCTATAGGTTGTTGAGCAGAAGTGAATAGCTCAGTGGATAAGAACAGTGACCAGGGCGCTGTAGACCCGAGTTCGAATCTCTGAGTGGATTGGGCGGACATTGAAGGTCTCAGAGAATGAGAACATGACCAAGGGTGCAACAACCAAGCTGGAATCCCTGAGAGGGCAGAAATAACTCAGAGGATATGGATGGTGATGGAAGGGTGCGGACCCCCAGCTGGAATCCCTGAGTGGGCGGAAATAACTCAGAGGATATGGATGGTGATGGAAGGGTGCGGACCCCCAGCTGGAATCTGAGTGAATTGGGCAGCAATAATTCACACAGAGCACTGAAGGAAGCCTCATAGACCCCATGTTCAAATCCCTGAGTGAAAGCTTGGAGGCCATGGACAACCCACCAGTCTGCTTCGGTCCCAGGCCCCCACAGGCCTGTAACATGTGTGGGCATCACATTAGGTTGTGGACACCCCCCCCTCTTCGGTCCACGGTCTGTGACATCACTGCAACATATATAAATACAATGGGCTGTCTTACTGGGGCAGCCCATTCAAAAGTCAGGGACTTAGGTTTTTCTTGGCCTCACCCTATCTATCTATCTATATACACACACCACCTGACCCCCTAGAGGTGGGACAGGGTAGTGAGCTGGAAACAATCCCACTACTCTGTTCCACCAACAGGGGGCTCAGGCACTGCACAGCACCTGGGACACACCAACCTCCTCTACAGGGATTTGAACTCATGTCTCCCACAGACCAGTCTGAGTCCTTACCCTCTGAGCCATCACCTGCACTCAGATGCCAAGGTGTTCATTCTCATACCTCAGGTACTAACCTGCTGCAAATAACTAAAGATTAACCAAGCCTTGAACCTGCAGCTCCAAAAGATCTGCTGGGCCACTAGCTGGCTACTAACCCGCAGAGCCACCTATCAGGCTGGAGAAGCTGCTTGATTCAGATGGATATCAACCACTCGGTGCAATACCAGGGGAACTAAAGGCCAGCCCGGGATTCGATCATACATCACTAAAAGGTTGGATACATTGAAGGCACACCAACTACCTGAGCCATTAGGGAGGATGATCAACTGTCTCTTGTTTTTCTCATACTCATATTTCCTATATATGGAGTTTCTAGAAAAAAAGAAATTTTCTAAATCTTATTATCGAAAATAGTGATAAATTATTCTAAGTCTTACCAGTTGAAGAGGTAAAAACTCTGTTCCTTTATTAGAGAAAAATGTTTTAAGCCCCTTCTAAGGAGAGACCCTGGAAGTGAGAGATGGCAGTAGCTCAGTGGATAAGAGCTCTGTCTGACAAAAAAAAAAAAAAAATCAAACAGACATGAGATCAAATCCCAAAGCTGGCTGCTTCATCTCTCACATCCCCAGACCAACGTCCAAACACCCGCCTGGGAGAAGTAAGGTTTTATTTAGCCAGATGCCCAAGCAAGATTTTTCTCTTTTTTTGGACATTATTTTGGATTTCATCATCAAAAATAGAGGAATAATATTTTAAGTCCCATTACCATTCAAAACTATTCTAAGTCCCATCAATCAAAATAGAAGAAACCTATTCCAAGTCCCATTTTTTTTTTTTTTAAAGAATCCTTCTAAAGTAGGAGAAGGTCTATGAATGAGACAGGTGGCAGTAGCTCAGTGGACAAGAGCTTTGTCTGAATGAGGAAAAAAGACCAGACATGAGATCAAATCCCAGAGCAGGCTGCTTCCCCTCAGAACCCAGAATCAATTCCTGAACACCTTGCTTGGGACTTGGCCAGCTACACCATCAAGTAAGATGTTTTTGGGTTTTTTAGATTGCCATTATTTTAAGTCCTACCACCCAAAATAGAAGAAAAATCTTCTAAGTCCCATCATCCAAAATAAAGGAAAGATATTCTAAGTCCCACTATCCAAACAGAGGAAAACCATTTCAAGTCACACCAACCATAATAAAATATTCTAAGTCCCATCATTCAAAATAGAAGAAACCTATTCCAAGTCCATTTTGTTTTTTAAAGAATCCTTCTAAAGTAGGAGAGGTCTATGAATGAGACGTGGCAGTAGCTCAGTGGACAAGAGCTTTGTCTGAATGAGGAAAAAAGACCAGACATGAGATCAAATCCCAGAGCAGGCTGCTTCACCTCAGAACCCAGAATCAATTCCTGAACACCTTGCTTGGGACTTGGCCAGCTACACCATCAAGTAAGATGTTTTTGTTTTTTGTTTTTTTTTTTAGATTGCCATTATATTTTAAGTCCTACCACCCAAAATAGAAGATTTTTTCCTTTATTTTGGGTAATGGGACTTAGAAGATTTTTTCCTTTATTTTGGGTAATGGGACTTAGAAGAAAAATCTTCTAAGTCCCATTATCCAAAATAGAAGAAAAATCTTCTAAGTCCCGTTATCCAAAATAAAGGAAAAATCTTCTAAGTCCCATCATCCAAATAGAGGAAAACCATTTCAAGTCACACCAACCATAATAAAATATCCTAAGTCCCATCATTCAAATATATTTGAAGTACCACCAACAAAAAGATGAAAAAAATCTCCAGCAACCAAATTAGAGAGGAAATATTGAAAAAGTATTCTAAGTCCCATTATTCAAAAAAAAAAGAAAAAGGAAAATAATCGAAGTCTCAACATTCAAAAATTTTTCAAGTCCCACCAGCAAAAAGAGGAAAAATCTTCTAAGTCCCATTATCTAAAATAGAGGAAACATGTTATTTCTGTAATGAGGTTTACCTGTAGGTACAGTGAATATCCCCCAAACTTGTTTTTTTTATCAGTTAAAAAAACAAGAAAAAACAAAAACTTGCAAATACAATAAATTAGTGTCCCACGCCACTGGTAAACATATATAAAAAAAATTATATAAACGCCAAACTCATAAGTCTTTCCAAAATGTATATATCTCTTCCAGAATTTAAGGCAAAGTATCCAAATTGCACCCGTGATCGTACACTGATGTGGAGAAAACCGACTTTTACTTGGTTCACCTCTGTTGTGTCTAACGCAGCAACCATACTACGCCGTCACCAGTTGTGGTCTCACCTGCTAAATATGACCAAACCGCTAAGTGAGGTCATGAATGGCTTGTGTCCCTTATGTGGACTGTGGCTGGCTGGGATAATTACCCTGCAGGGTTTTAGGGTCCCCACACTTCCTTGCGGCCTCACAGATCTGGGCTTTTTTCTTGGGGCCGCATATTTGCGTACCTGTCTTTGTGCTGGGAGTGCTGCACAGCGTGGTCCCAACACAAAGACCAGGGTGTCATTAAGATCTCCGGGTCCCGTTCTAACGATCAGGACCTGGGACTCCCAATTCTGGGTCACATGATCGCTATGATAGCCTCTGATTGGCTATCACAGTGATCTGTTACTGTACAGCCCAGCCCCCTTGTTTTTTTCTCTCTCTCTATGAATGGAGGAGGAGAGAGATACATTGTATTATTGTATAATATACATCCTATTATACATTGTATCATTATATACATCCTATTATACATTGTATCATTATATACATCATAATATACATTGTATCATTATATACATCCTATTATACATTGTATCATTATATACATCCTGTTATACATTGTATCATTATATACATCCTGTTATACATTGTATCATTATATACATCCTATTATACATTGTATCATTATATACATCCCATTATACATTGTATCATTATATACATCCTATTATACATTGTATCATTATATACATCGTGTTATACATTGTATCATTATATACATTCTATTATACATTGTATCATATATATACATTCTATTATACATTGTATCTAACTCTTGGCATAGAGGTGAAAAAAAAAATATTTGTTTAAAAGAAAAATAAAAAAAGATAAATATTAAAAAATAAAATAAAAAATACCTAGATCAAGGTTTGATCTGGTTCAGTGCCGGGGTTAGTGTTTGGGTCAAGTTCAGGATTAAAAAAAAAAATAATTGGTGTTAGTGTCAGTGTGTTTTAGGTAAACAAAAAACAAAAAACTATTGTTTCTGGGCTGTACTCCGGGTACAAACAACAAATAACATCCACATATATGGTATCGCTGTGATCATCAAGAGCTGGAAAATTGAATTTGGGTTGTTCTTTGGTGGTAGGTTATGGTAGTAACAAGAAACAGCTATATTTAAATAAAAAAAAAATTTTTTTATTTACTATTTTGGGCCAGTTTTCCTTTGATAATAAAAAAAAAAATATAGGAGATATCTATTACCATTTACCACCACATGAAAGCCCAATTTGTCCTGATAAAAAAAAAAACGCAGTATAATCCACCCGGATGTACGAAGTAGTTGTGATGATACGGACGGTTTTACTATCACATGTCAATGTTGCAGAATTGTGCTTAGGCATTTAGATTTGTTTCACCCTCAGGGAGTGAAGGGGTTAAAGATCTCCCTCCATTTGTCCATGTGCCATAAGAAATCATCAGAACATAAAGCCATATCCTCTTTTTAAACATTTATTATCACATTGTATTACACTCACATATAAAAACCAATATTGTATTACTGCGAATCATTATATATATTTTAAATTTCCAACATGCCTGATCACTCAACTTTGACTGTCGTTCGAAAATCGGTGTGCTGTGGCCCAGTAATGGTGCAAAATTCAAACGAAAAGCCTTAGAAAAGATTTTCGAAAGAAAAATCATTGAGAATTTGACCCGTGTATGGCCGGCTTTCTATACGTGTAGCTGCAGGGCGGGGGAATGCCTCGGCCGCAGATGATTGGCCCGTACACTAGCTGGCTTCCTTCCGAACACACCTGAGCTCATCACGACAAGCAAAGCAACAATGGCGGCCACTCGGATCCATTGCAAACTAGCAAAACAGGGAAAATCTACAGAACACCAGCGTTCCTCGGCACACCATACAGCTAGTCCGAGCAAATGAAACAAACATCTCAACTTCACATAGAACTACAGGCAAAAAGTTTCTTTTCATATTGGATAAAGGAAGAGTTATATCCCCCCCCCCCCGGACAGAGAAAGGAGAATTATATCACCCCCTCCCATAGAGAAACGGAGAGTTATATTCCCCCCTCCCATAGAGAAACGGAGTTATATCCCTCCCCCGGACAGAGAAAGGAGAGTTATATCACCCCCTCCCATTGAGAAACAGAGAGTTATAACCCCCCCCGATAGAGAAAGTTATACCTGTCAGTTTACTTTTAGCCATCTGTGTCCCATTGGGGAGATTTCCCTTCATTTCCTGTATGTGAACCAAACCAGGAAGAGAGTGGAAACCCCTACAAATTCAGGGAATTCCTTGGGGACCCCCAGGTCACCAGTAAAGTATTTTCTTTTACTTTCAATGATAATAGTAAACAGGACAAATAGAGTGAATCTCCCGAATGGAGGGAACAGCCAGGAATAAAACCTGGGGGGGGGGGGGGGGGGGGTCCAATAAAAAATAAGTTTTGCCTTTAGTTATGCTTTCAGTCCAGAGGGTCATATACAGGACAGGACCCCGTCCTCCTCATCACCCCGTCCTCCTCACCGTGTTCCCCTCCAGGCCTTGTACATGCAGGACTCAGCTGGTAGAAGAGCCGTTTGTACAGAACCAATGGAGAGCTTTCAGCAATCTTTGTTTTAGGTTGGCCATACATTATACAATTTTCTTGAGAATTTTAGATTTACCAAAAACCATATAATATGAGTTCAAATCTAAACAACCCTTTCAGTTGTATCCAATCAGGCGGGCCCTTACACTACATAGCTGAAGGTAAATCTAAAGGAAATTGTATAATGTGTGGCCAGCTTTAGGCTTTAAATCTCCTTTCGGTTTCCTAATGAGAAGAACTCTAAATTAGCTGCCAGCCGGCTTCCATCAAGTTTCAGGTGGTGCCGGTCTTCCCGACTCCCGGGGGTGCAAGACTTCCATTTCCTCATCAGTCTTTTGCTGTCCTCTGCAGATGCTCAATGCGGCTTACAAGGAGGAACTGAAAGATTTTGAGAAGACGGAGAAAGTCAAATTGTCAAAATTAAAAGAAAAAGTCAATCAGAAGGTGAGTAACCTGAGCGCTCCTTGTCCAATCAGCAGATGAAGGCCAGCTCTGGGCTCAGGGTCCCCCCCTTACCTGAGGCCCCCCACCAGCAGTATGTAGATTTACCGCAGCAGGGTTGCTTGTGCAGGCTCAGTCATGGATATATTCGTGATTGAGCCTGCACCTATTTAGGAGCGCACCCCTGCCCACCAGATAATTGTGATTGGTCACGTGTCCCCAGTACAGCTCCCCATCTCTCCTACATGCTACAAGGATGTGAACTCACCATGTGATGCCCTCGTCCCTCACGCGAGTTCACTGCGCCAGGGGCAGCCGCCCCTCCTGCCCACCCCTTGTCCCAGCGCGGTGTCCTGGTACAGTGACTGAAACAAGTCACACCCAGCCAGGCATCAAGCATTTTCAGAGGGAGGCCTCCAGGTGGACAGCAAAAGAGACATTAACCTGTAGATGGGCTTTACATCCTGAGACCACAACTATTAACATCCGGGTGGTAGAAGAACTGTACATGCTGTGAAATACCAAGACACCCCTGATGTGGAATAGATGCAGCCAAGCAATTGACCCCCCCATGAGTAGTCAGGTACAGGGAGTCCGGCTTTATGTCTATTGACTCGCAGGGGGAGAGCTGCTAAAACTGGAGAGTGCAAGATCCGGTGCAGCTGTGCATGGCGGCCAATCAGCTTCTGACTTCAGCTTGTTCAATTAAGCTTTGGAAATAAGACCTGGAAGTTGATTGGTTTCTAGGCAGAGCTGCACCTGATTCTGCCCTCCCCAGTTTTAGTAAATCAACCCCCAAGTCTCCTACTGATCCATCCTTTGTGCTTCATGTATGTGCAGCTTTAGAAGTAGGAACATACACACGCATGACCACTGCTTGTCCAGTGCCGCCAGCATCCACCGTGTGCAGGAAATATAGGCAGACTTCAGAGTCTCCCTTCACACACCGGCCAACAGTCCTCTCCTCCGGCCAACAGTCCTCTCCTCCGGCCAACAGTCCTCTCCTCCGGCCAACAGTCCTCTCCTCTCTCCTTCCTCATTAAGGATCAAGAAAATATCTTCAAAGAACCTGAGAAAAAGTCACACCTGGAGAAGGTATATTCAGGGAGGCAGATGAGGGCGCAACAATGGACCCCCAGCTGTCACAAGGCTGCAGGACGCAGTAAGAGAGTCTCGCTCCCCCCCCCCCCCCCCTTGCTCTCTCTCCTCTCTCTCCCCCCCCTCTCTCTCTCTCCCCCCCCTCTCCTCCCTCTCCCTCCCCCCCCCCTCTCTCTCTCCCCCCCCCCCCTCTCTCTGCACCCACCTCTCTCTCTCTCTCTCCCCCCCGCCTCTCTCCCCCCCCTTGCTCTCTCTCCTCTCCCCCTCTCTCTGCACCCACCTCTCCTCTCCCCCTGTCTCTCTTTCTGCCTGCACCCCCCCCCTCCCACCGCCCCCCCCCTCTCTCCTCTCCCCCCCCCTCTCCCCCCCCCCCTCTCTCCCCCTCCCCCCCCTCTCTCTCCCCCTCCCCCCCCCCCCTCTCTCCCCCTCCCCCCCCCCCCTCTCTCCTCTCTCCCCCCCCCCCCTCTCTCCTCTCTCCCCCTCTCTCTCCCCCCCCCCCTCCTCCTCTCCCTCCCCCTCTCTCCTCTCCCCCTCTCCCCCCCCCTCTCTCCTCCTCCCCCCCCCTCTCCCCCCCCTCTCTCTCCTCTCCCCCTCTCCCCCCCCCCTCTCTCCTCTCCCCCCCCTCTCTCTCTCCTCCCCCTCCCTCTCCTCTCCCCCTCCCTCTCCTCTCCCCTCTCCCCCTCCTCTCCCCTCTCCCCCTTCTCTCCTCTCACCCCTCTCCCTCCTCTCTCTCTGGCCCCCCCACCTCCCTCTCTCACCCTCACCTCTCTTTCTCTGCACCCTCTCCCCCCCCCTACCTCCTCTCTCTCCCCCTCTGTCTCTGCACCCCCTCTCTCCCTCCTCTCTCTCTCTCCTGCCCCCCACCTCCTCTCTCTTACCCTCACCTCTCCCCCATTCTCTCTCTCTGGCCCCCCCACCTCCTCTCTCACCCTCACCTCTCTTTCTCTGCACCCTCTCCCCCCCCCTACCTCCTCTCCCTCCCCTCTCTCTCTCTGCACCCCCTCTCCCTCCCTCTCTCTCTCCTGCCCCCCACCTCCTCTCTCTTACCCTCACCTCTCCCCCATTCTCTCTCTCTCCTCCTCCCTCACACTGAGCTTCTTGTGTCGCCCGCAGTGAAGATTAAAGAACCCGACCTCCTTCCTCTCTTACTGGACGAGTTCCCACATCTGCAGATCTCCCCCCACACCTTCAACGCTATGTGGAAGGGGCAACTCACCCAGGTAGAGCAACTCGCCAGGTCTGCCCAGGAGGACGAGAGGAGCGAGCGCAAGCTGCAGAGAGAGGTGAGAAAAGATGGGGACTTCTTAGAGGCCACGTCCATTACCTCTCATTCCTGCCCAGTGATGGATCTGTGTGGCTCAGCCGGGGTGAGACAGAAGTGACCTCTGACCTTGCCGTCTAACTTTCTCTGCAGGTGGAAGAGGCACACAAGAGACACGGCCTTCTCACTGAGATTATCCGGAGGGAACAAGAACAGAACCAGCGTCTGGTTAGTGCAGAAATCTTCATTCACTGATCATTCCATACAGGGGAACCAGCACTGAGGTCCTGGGCACACTTCCTACATCAAGGACGTGCAGGTTTTCTCCCACATCCCAGAGAAGTTAGTCTTGGTGTGATAGGAATGGACCCCATGACCACGGTGCTGCAAGGCCACACTGCTGCCCACTAAGCAGCTAAAGGGTCCCGGTTCTTTGGATAAATGTGGCTGTACATTTGCTGCGACTGAGCTCTCCATTTCCTCCATAGAAAGACTTCAAGGAGAGAATCCGCCTGCAGAAAACCGCGCAGAATAGAATGAAGGAGAATCGGCAGCAGGTGACACGTGCCAAGAAATACTACGAAGACTATCATGTGCAGCTCCGGGCCAAACTGATGCGGGTCAGAACACGGGAGGAGAAGGTATGTAATGCCGTCACAGAACACGGAACCTTGTATGATGAATGTTCAGCCAACGCAGAATTATTGTATGTGGGGGAGAGGCTGCCTCCCCCAGCCGTAGGGGACCCCTACTGCCATTTACACATGGGGACCACCATACACCACACAAGGGGGGAGATTTCCCAAAACTGGAGCACAGAATTTGGTGCAGCGCTGCATAGTAACCAATCAGCTTCCAGGTTTCATTGTCAGAGCTGAAGGTAGAAGCTGATTGGCTCCCATGCACAGTTGCACCAGATTCTGAGTGCTAAAGTTTTAGGAAATCTCCCCCAATGTGTACATCTGATTGGCCCAAGTAGACCTTCCAGCAATGAGATCTGTTTTATTGTCCACAGATGAGTTGTAGGAAGGTCCAGACAGAAATTCACCTGCTGGGGGCGGCAAAACACCCTGCGCCTGCTGGGGGCGGCAAAACACCCTGCGCCTGCTGGGGGCGGCAAAACACCCTGCGCCTGCTGGGGGCGGCAAAACACCCTGCGCCTGCTGGGGGCGGCAAAACACCCTGCGCCTGCTGGGGGCGGCAAAAAACACCCTGCGCCTGCTGGGGGCGGCGGCAAAACACCCTGCGCCTGCTGGGGGCGGCAAAACACCCTGCGCCTGCTGGGGGCGGCAAAACACCCTGCGCCTGCTGGGGGCTGCAAAACACCCTGCGCCTGCTGGGGGCGGCAAAACACCCTGCGCCTGCTGGGGGCAGCAAAACATCAAACATCCTGTGCCTGCTGGGGGCAGCAAAACATCAAACATCCTGTGCCTGCTGGGGGCAGCAAAACATCAAACATCCTGTGCCTGCTGGGGGCAGCAAAACATCAAACATCCTGTGCCTGCTGGGGGCAGCGTGACACTTACCATCCCTACCTGCCATTCCCTCTTCCTGAACTCTGTGTGCCATAAACTGACCTCCATGTCCTCCTCAGATCATGAAAAATCTCTTCGAGGAAGGCCTGGAGATCCAGAAGCAACGACTGCGAGAACTGCGCTCATACACCAAGGAGCAGCGCGAGGAACAGAGGAAGAGACACAAAGACGAGCTGGAGTCCATGGAGAACTACTATAAGGATCAGGTGAGTTCCCCCAGCCAGTCACAGAAGAGCAATCCCCGTCATGTCTGTCCTCATCTGACCCTTCCTCCCTCTGTTTCTGGCAGTTCTCCATGCTGGCAGAAGCCGTGACCCAGGAAAAGCAAGAAATGCAGGCACATGAGAAGGCACAGTCCAAGGTGAGAGCTGCATTACCCATAATCCTCTCTTACATGGGGTAGGAGGAACTTGGAGTGAGAAAATGGGGGTAAAGGGGCAATCCTGCCAAAGCAAAGTACCAGGTTCTGGGACACACTGATCACCGTCACACCCTCCACCCTCCATACCGATCACCGTCACACCCTCCATACTCCTCTCCTGTACATACCGATCACTGTCACACCTCCACACTCCTCTCCTGTACATACCGATCACTGTCACACCTCCACACTCCCTCTCCTGTACATATACCGATCACCGTCACACAAACACACCCTCCATACTCCTCTCCTGTACATACCGATCACTGTCACACCTCCACACTCCTCTCCTGTACATACCGATCACTGTCACACCTCCACACTCCTCTCCTGTACATACCGATCACTGTCACACCCTCCACACTCCTCTCCTGTACATACCGATCACTGTCACACCCCCACACTCCTCTCCTGTACATACCGATCACTGTCACACCTCCACACTCCTCTCCTGTACATACCGATCACTGTCATACCCCCCACACTCCTCTCCTGTACATACCGATCACTGTCACACACCTCCACACTCCTCTCCTGTACATACCGCCCTCTGTGTAGTACCCTCCACACTCCTCTCCTGTACATACCGATCACCGTCACACCTCCGTACTCCTCTCCTGTACATACCGATCACTGTCACACCCTCCACACCTCCACACTCCTCTCCTGTACATACCGATCACTGTCATACCCCCCCACACCTCCTCTCCTGTACATACCGCCCTCTGTAGTACCCTCCACATTCCTCTCCTGTACATACCGATCACCGTCACACCTCCACGCTCCTCCTGTACATACCGATCACCGTCATACCCCCCCACACTCCTCTCCTGCACATACTTCCCCCTGTCATACCCTCCACACCTCACTCTCCTGCACATACTTCCCCCTGTAATACCCCCACACTCCTCTCCTGTACATACTACCCCCCACACTCCCCCTGTCATACCTCTGTCATACTCCTCTCCTGTACATACCCATCACTGTCATACCTCCACACTCCTCTCCTGTACATACAGCCCTCTGTAGTACCCTCCACAGTCCTCTCCTGTACGTACCCATCACCGGCACACCCTCCGCGCTCCTCTCCTGTACGTACCCATCACCGGCACACCTCTGCGCTCCTCTCCTGTACGTACCCATCACACCTCCGCGCTCCTCTCCTGTACGTACTTCCCCCTGTCATACCCTCCACACTCCTCTCCTGCACATACTTCCCCCTGTCATACCCCCCCACACTCCTCTCCTGTACATACTTCCCCCTGTCATACCTCCGTACTCCTCTCCTGTACATACCCATCACTGTCATACCTCCACACTCCTCTCCTGTACATACAGCCCTCTGTAGTACCCTCCACAGTCCTCTCCTGTACGTACCCATCACCGGCACACCTCCGCGCTCCTCTCCTGTACGTACCCATCACCGGCACACCTCTGCGCTCCTCTCCTGTACGTACCCATCACACCTCCGCGCTCCTCTCCTGTACGTACCCATCACCGTCACACCTCCGCGCTCCTCTCCTGTACGTACCCATCACCGCCCACCGTCATACGCTCCTCTCCTGTACGTACCCATCAACGCCCACCGTACCCATACGCTCCTCTCCTGTACGTACCCATCAACGCCCACCGTCATACGCTCCTCTCCTGTACGTACCCATCACCGTCATACGCTCCTCTCCTGTACGTACCGCCCACCGTCATACCCCCTCTCTCCTGTACGTACCGCCCACAGTCATCCCCCCTCTCTCCTGTACGTACCGCCCACCGTCATACCCCCTCTCTCCTGTACGTACCGCCCACCATCATACCCCCCCTCTCTCCTGTACGTACCGCCCACCGTCATACCCCCCTCTCTCCTGTACGTACCGCGCCCACCGTCATACGCTCCTCTCCTGTACGTACCCACATCACCGCCCACCGTCATACGCTCCTCTCCTGTACGTACCCATCACCGCCCACCGTCATACGCTCCTCTCCTGTACGTACCCATCACCACCGTCATACGCTCCTCTCCTGTACGTACCGCCCACCGTCATACGCTCCTCTCCTGTACGTACCGCCCACCGTCATACGCTCCTCTCCTGTACGTACCGCCAACCGTCATACGCTCCTCTCCTGTACGTACCGCCCACCGTCATACGCTCCTCTCCTGTACGTACCGCCCACCGTCATACGCATACCCCCTCTCTCCTGTACGTACCGCCCACCGTCATACCGCTCCTCTCCTGTACGTACCATCCACCGTCATACCCCCTCTCTCCTGTACGTACCGCCCACCGTCATACGCTCCTCTCCTGTACGTACCATCCACCGTCATACCCCCTCTCTCCTGTACGTACCGCCCACCGTCATACGCTCCTCTCCTGTACGTACCATCCACCGTCATACCCCCTCTCTCCTGTACGTACCGCCCACCGTCGTACGCTCCTCTCCTGTACGTACCGCCCACCGTCATACGCTCCTCTCCTGTACGTACCGCCCACCGTCATACCCCCCTCTCTCCTGTACGTACCGCCCACCGTCATACCCTGGGGGGTGTGCTTCTTACCTGCTGTTTCCCCAGGGGTCTGCCGACAGGGTCACTTTAGTAACGGCCATCTTCCTTTATTCATTGGTGCAGAATCTACAGAAGACGAAGAAGGAACTGCGGTTGAAGATGGAGAAGGAGATCCAGGAGCTGCAGGAGATGATCTTACGGGCCGATGAAGATGTTTTCTTCCGAGAGTTGGAGGCCGACCGCCTGAAGAGGCGGCTGCAGATGGCTTCCTTCCAATACGGCAAGAGCCACTGCCTGTAATGAGGCAAAATGACCACTAGAGGGCGACAAACAGACCGCAACCAACTGGGATCGCCCTGGAAACCAGAACTCAGACAAATGTATTTTTAAATTTCCTTTCGGTGGGGGAGGGGGAAGGGCAGATCTTCGGTCAGGTCGTTACCTTTCCTAATGTCTTCTTCCAGTGTCACCGACACACAACAGTAACAATCTGACAGAAGTTCTGCCCTTCCAGACTCCGTTTGGGCTGGAGTTGGATTTGAACCCTTGCCGTGACAGAATGCAGGAGGTTATTTGCTGCTGTGCGACATCATTCACCAATACTGTAAGTCAACTTTATACAAAGTGGCCCTTGGGGGGTCCTGAGGGCCACAGCATGTGCCACATTGTAAATTCCCTCCAATCAACACCCTAACACCTCCCCCCGATTGCAGAGTGCCTTAATCCTTCCTCCCCTTTAACGCCCCAGAATGATTTTGTTTTTTTTTATATATATATATAATGAACTGATGGATTTTACATTCGGATTTATATTTATTAGAACTTTAACTTATTTTTTTTTTTTTTGATTATTAAATTAAAAACCACTTTTATCCAGAAGCAGATGAAGTTCATCATTTGTGACCCAGATACAGAAGCAGCTCCGCGGCTCGGGCCTTGGCTGGGTGATGGAGGATTCCTGGAAGTGAACATGGCTCAGGTCCAGCACCTCGTATCGCCCACATAGACCGAGGCGGAGGAGCATTTATATACAGACAGGTTCACCAGTGAGAGGAATTGTAGTGTCAATGTGATGGGAGCCACACCGGGCTTAAATGTTCTATTTGCCCTTCACTTCAGAGGGTTGTGTTGTTTACATCCAGCAGAGCAAGTTGTCACTGACCAGGCCACGCCTGCACCCCCCACCCCATAGACTTCCATGGGGGGGGCCATAATAACGTGTATGTGCAGCCAGGATAGTGAGCACTCGGGGTTCTGTATGTAAACACCAGACTCCTCCGGCATCTCACCGACAAGTACATACCTGTGGCTGGGGGATGGGGAGGTTAATGCGGAGCTCCACCCAGAAGGGGCAGTTCCTGCTTTCAATACTGGTCTTCAGCTCCTTGCATGCGCAGTGGGCACTCGGCTATGACGCCACATGCTATCAGTCTGGTGCACACACTGAAGATGTCAGGGCCAGGGAGAGAAGATGGCTGGTGAAACCAGCGGCGGTGCGCACACTGCTGGATCGTGGGACAGGAGAGGGGCTGTTTTGTGTTAAAGCTTTGACCGGAGCTCCCCTTTAAGTCAGGTCCAGGCACAAAGCACAATTGTTCTTATCCTTTAAGAGACACACCATGGAATTCATAGAGCATGGCGCAGATCGATGTCGGTGAATGTGTGGCAACCTCATGTATGCGTCCAGAATTCGTATCTGAATTTGATGCGCCACTTTTAGAGACACGCCAGCCATGTTTGCTAAAAGAAAGTTGGTCTTCATGAGCTGCACTTCAGTAAGATACAAACTGTCGGTATTTTATTGCCACAATATAGAAGTGGCGCAACTTATACCTACCTGACTATGGCGCAGGATTCACTACCAGAAACTAAATTGTCGCAGATGTTCTGAGCTCCAGAAAAGTGCTGCAGTTTTATTGGTTCCCCCCCCCCCCCCCCCCCCCCCCAGCAATCATTTTGCCTATTCAGCATCTGCACATAGCCCACCCAGAGACATACATACCCAGCCATTCTCATCACCTCCTGGTATGGCTGGATTCCCTGCTCACAGAGAGAAGGCTTCTGGGTAACAGGAACCATGTGACCTCTCCCATGTGATAATACTAACACTCACTAGGGGGGGGGGGGGGACAGACATCATTCCCTGTTGGAAGCTGGAGCATAGACAAGGGGAAAGCGGCAGTACAGAGACTATGGTGCAAGGCTGGGTAACAATATATAATGGGGGGGGGGGGACTAAGAGTGGTCATCAGGTGGAAGGAAGGATCTCCTATGACCTCCAAGAACATTCTGAGCAGTCTGGTCTCCTGATCAAGGACAATGTAATGCAGAGGCAACCTCAGCGCTCCAACTGTTGTGGAACCACCACAAGGAACTGCAGGACTGACAGCCACAGGCATGAATCCTAGAGAGAGGCATGATGGGAGTTGCAGCGCGGAGGTTGCCTACCTCACCAAACTGGCTGAACCTTCTAAGGGCCCCTTCACACGGGTGGTTTCCATTCCGATCCACTCCCAGAGTCCCTGCTGATCGGAGCAGAACGGGACAGATGACAAGTCCTTGTCCACCGCAGACGTAAACGGATCTCGATCTGCTCTATGGGTGGATGGGAGTCATACAGACTCTGCAGTGACTTTATACCAGACCACCTCCAATCCGATCTGCCCAAACGGAAGAGGACGCAGTCCTCCATTTTTATTATTTGTGGGCCTGATTGGACCCTGAGGTAGGCAGGTGCAAACTAACTTCAGTCCATAGGAATACATGGACCAGCCGATCCAGTCTGCCTGAAAAACTGACAGACGACCCGATTGGGTTCCTTGTATAAAAGGTGCCTAACAGAGAAACTGCATCCAATCATCATTGTATTCCTGTCTATGTCTATTGTGGCCTTAAAGGAGAACTCCAGCTAGTGAATTAAGCAGCTCAGTCAAGGTAACGGCAACATATATGGCTGACCTCCATGAAGATCCTATAAAGTTCTGGCTCTCTGAGAACGCTACCAGTCCCTGCGCCATGGCAAGTACATTTAAAGTGACTAAACCCCGGACCCCGCATTCACTATATCCGCTCTCCCCAGACTCCGCATTCACCATATCCGCTCTCCCCAGACTCCGCATTCACCATATCCGCTCTCCCCGGACCCCGCATTCACCATATCCGCTCTCCCCGGACCCCGCATTCACTATATCCGCTCTCCCCAGACTCCGCATTCACCATATCCGCTCTCCCCAGACTCCGCATTCACCATATCCGCTCTCCCCGGACCCCGCATTCACCATATCCGCTCTCCCCGGACCCCGCATTCACTATATCCGCTCTCCCCGGACTCCGCATTCACTAAATCCTACCAAGACCCCGCACTTGCTATGTCCGCCCTCCCCGGACCCCGCATTCGCTATGTCCGCCCTCCCCGGACCCCGCACTCACTGTATCCGCTCTCCCCGGACCCCGCATTCACTAAATCCTACCCGGACCCCGCCACTCGCTATGTCCGCCCTCCCCGGACCCCGCACTCACTGTATCCGCTCTCCCCGGACCCCGCATTCACTAAATCCTACCCGGACCCCGCCACTCGCTATGTCCGCCCTCCCCGGACCCCGCCACTCGCTATGTCCGCCCTCCCCGGACCCCGCATTCACTAAATCCTACCCGGACCCCGCCACTCGCTATGTCCGCCCTCCCCGGACCCCGCCACTCGCTATGTCCACCCTCCCCGGACCCCGCCACTCGCTATGTCCGCCCTCCCCGGACCCCGCATTCACTAAATCCTACCCGGACCCCGCCACTCGCTATGTCCGCTCTCCCCGGACCCCGCCACTCGCTATATCCCCACACTCGCTGTGTCCGCCCCCCCGGACCCCGCACTCCCTCTGTCCGCTCTCCCCGGCCCCCGCCACTCGCTATATCCGCTCTCCCCGGCCCCCGCCACTCGCTATATCCGCTCTCCCCGGCCCCCGCCACTCGCTCTATCCGTTCACCCCGGACCCCGCATTCGCTCTATCCGCTCTCCCCAGACCGCGCATTCACTATATCCGCTCTCCCCGGACCCCGCATTCACTATATCCGCTCTCCTCGGACCCCGCATTCACTAAATCCTACCTGGACCCCGCCACTCGCTATGTCCGCCCTCCCCGAACCCCGCATTCACTATATCCGCTCTCCCTTTCTGATCCCGTCCTGCGGTCTGCCCCTCTGACCCGTACTATATTCTTCAGCCACCTGAAGGACCTTCACATCCAGTTCCAGCACACCTTACATCACACTTGTGTCCTGTACCAACATCAAAGACAGTGGAAGGCACCAGAGCACATGGCGGGGCACCAACACCTGTTTTGGGTGTGAGGATCCAAGGAATGAGCAGACAGAACGGTGAGAATAAAACCTTTCTTGCTGCTTTCCCACATTCAGATTCCCTTTAGGCCCCATTCACACAGGGTGGTCCCAAGGCAATCAGCAGCGGATCTGTGAGCTGAGCGGAGTAGAGCAGACATGGGCAGAGCGGGCGGCTGGGAAGTCTGTTTACACCTAGTCACCCCTGATAAACGGAAGAGTTTATGTCGTGCTGACCGGCCCCAGACAAGTCCGCTTACACCCGCCTGTCCATAGAGACGCATGGACCTTCCGTCTAAAAGAGGGTTTAAAGTAGAACTATAGGCAAAACCTTCTTTCATTTTATGGATAGGAGGGTTATAACCCCCTTGTCAGATCTGTGCCCCATTGGGGAGATTTCCCTCCACTTCCTGCCCCATCGGGCAGATTTCCCTCCACTTCCTGCCCCATCGGGCAGATTTCCCTCCACTTCCTGCCCCATCGGGCAGATTTCCCTCCACTTCCTGCCCCATCGGGCAGATTTCCCTCCACTTCCTGTCCCATTATCAAACAGGAAGTGAGAGGAAATCCCTGCAAATTATGGGAATTCTTGTGTACCCCCCCAGGTCACCAGAACTAATATCCCCATTGGAAGATTTCCCCTCTATTCCTGCTCTGGTGACAACTCAAAATTTGGGATTTCCTTTCAATAACGGTAAATGGGAAATAAATAGGGGGGGATCTATCTGGGGCACAGACAGCAATAAGAACTGAACAGGAGGTCTATTCCCTCTCCACTCCATCCAAAACCACAAAATAAAGTTTTGTCTTTAGTTATACTTTAACCCCTTGACGCCGAGTGCATGCAGTGATGTGGCCTCTCAGTATCTGGGCCTCGACGCCGAGCAGCCGCACAATTGCGTGCCATTAGAAAATAAATATACCCTGTGCCCTCCCAGCACATGTGGCCGTGACTCACAGAAAGGTCC